ACATTCTCAAAATGTTCTGGGGAGGATGCCCAGACCCGTCGCCTGTGTATGTACACATTCCATTTCCCCCCCCCCCCCACAGCCTAGGCTACGCCCCTGCACCCCCCAGCCCCAGCACACACACACCAGCACACACCACACACACACATTAGTCCACACAGACCAAATAGCCAACACGCACACATATTATATATATATATATATCTATACTGATATACATGCGCGCGGAATCTCATGGACGTGCAGCGTTCTGCTTCGCTTGACTAAGGCGGGATAACATCGTGCGTAGAGTCCGCATTTCACGCTGCACTGCCTCTGATGTTTCCCGTAAGTAAAGCATTGCGAGAGAGGTTCCTTCTCAAGACCTATTATGAACGCTACGTCGCTACGATATCAAGTTATGTCTTCAAACAAACGTAAACATTATTCGCAATCATCTTCAGATACAGGAAGCAAAGATGATATCTGTAAATGCATGTCGTGTGTATGTGCGAAACATGCGAGCATGCATATGGTTGTTCGTGTTCATTCGAGCGTACGTTCGTGCACGCACATGTGCGCGTGTACGTGTGTGTCTGTCCGTATATGTGTGTGTTTGTACGACTGCACGCGCGTGTGCGTGCGTGTGTGCGCGCGTGGTGCGTACGTGTGTGCGCGTGTTACCCGCTGGGTAGGCAACGTTTATACGGTTTCACATGGGTCATCCAGGACGTTCACCGTTCACGGGTCTGCGGCAAGAACTGTTAAATTGCTTGAGCATTGCTGGAAAATACACACAACTGCACAGTAAGACACGGTGTGCGGAGAGAGAATAAAAGAACCAGTTTTTTTTTACCTTAAGCTGTACTGTTCTTTCTCCACAGTGTAGGCATGAAACTACTCCGAAAAACCTTAACGCGAATTGGAGAGTTCGGTTCCTTGTTTGCTCGCTTGGACTTTTTTAAAAGATTGACCGCGAGAAGCTCGCCGCTGCAGTGCGCGTGCGTGTACACACACACACACACACACACACACACACACACACACACACACGCGCGCGCGGCGCAGCGCGCACACACACACACAACACGAAGAAGAGAGAAGAGAGAGACGCACACACACACACACACGCCGACACACCACACACACCACACCCACACACACACACACACACACACACGAAGAAAGAGAGAGAGAGAGGCCAGACAACACACACGCACACCACACACATGGCCACACACACACACACACACCACACACACCACACAATCCAGCACACACACACACACACACACACACGCACACGCATGTACGTGATGTATAAATCGTACGAAGTCATTATTCATGTTTGAGGTACCCAAAAATGTGGGGTTATGTGCGGATGTAGTAATTACCCTGGTATTAAAATTTTTCGTAAGCTTTTGTAATTACTCCCCACTTTATCAAAGGACTGGTTCCCGTAGCGCGGTTGTTCTGCATAACTATAGCACGATCATCATATATCATCATATAGCATCATCTCACGGTGAGTCAGCACTTCATCGCCGCTCCATATCCGCGTGCTCTCTCTCTCAACTGTGATGTAGCTTTTCAGGTGGCGGTACATATGTTGTATTGTACATTGTACGTTGTAATTAACCAGGAGCGCTTCTAGCCAGGCGAGGCAGTGGAACTGTGTTCTGTGTTCTGGCCTGGTGGTTCGTTGTTGTTTTGGTAATGACGCGGGATGTACGGCACTATAAATTTGCGTAGCCTCGTCGCGTCTCCTGGCCCCGCCAAGGTCCGGCCGGTAATGACGAAAAACCGGACGGATTGAATTGTCGCCAGGCGGTTAAGATCATAAGTTAGTTATTACCCAGAAGAAGAGAAGAGAGACGATGTAGTGGAGATAGACGAAAACAGAGATGACGGGACCTAGGCACGGTCACCTAGGTTGCCGTATGTATATATTTTGTAAGCCAGGCGGTGGTGGTGGGGTGGTGTTGGGGGATGGGAGTTATAGGTAGGAAAAGTGCTTTAGTATTTCGCTAACACACTCGTGTATTATAAAACATGCGGTTTGAAAACTATAGTTTCCAGTTTAATTACGAAAATTGAAAATAGATGCCGACACAAGATTGCTTCACTCACCCGTAATACGTATTGCAGTGTCGCTCATCCATTGCGCTCTTGCTTGCTTGGTCGCCAGCGGTAGGCCCCTTATCCAGCTGATATCTCGGGTGCTGTCTCAGCTGCTGTGATCTGTGACATGTTGTACTAATGCGTCGTAATTCCGTGGTATGCGTGTTATGTGTGTCGTCCGGCAAGGGATCAATTTGCTAAATGTCACCGCATAAAACTGCATTGTTCCGTGCGTTATCCGGCAATCGGCCGATTGACTGAATCTCAGTACCAAAACCTGCACTCCTCCTTGCGTCGTCGTGATCGTATTTTGCTGTTCCTCGCTTCGTCGTGATCGTATTCTGCGATTCTTGCGTCGTCGATTTTGGAATTGAATTATTCGATTTTGGGATCGAATCAT